TATCTTCATTTTCCTTTTCTTCAATAAGTTCAAAAAGCCTTAACCTCCCTGCAATTTAATGGTAATCAATTTAATTTTGAAGTAGAGGAAATATTAAAAGAAATAATTCAAAAAAGAGACAGTTTGCTGGATACAGAATCAGATTCTGGTAATGATACACTTTACTATGATTTACATAAGTTATGATTGCATCTTTTAAAAAGTTTAATTGCTTCCTCAAATTGTATTTCTGCGAATTGTCAATACATAATTAAATTAGAGTTATTTAATTAAATTTAATACACATGCCGAGCGATACTTTGGAGCTAGTTCCTAAGTTGTTTACCTCTTAGGCACAGTAATGTTCTAAAATCTAGATTTAGAATTTTTATATGTAAAATAATGTAAATTTATATACAGAACAAAATTACTTAGAGATGAAAGATAGGTTTAATTAGTAATATTTTGAAGATCATAAGATTTTCTATATTTTTATTAGTAAAATTAATGTAAATTTTGAAATTCTTGAAATTTTACTAATTAAATCAATTTTATACATTAAGTAATCTGATTCTACATATAAAATTATACATATAAAATTACATATTTTTTATCGGTATCTAAACAGATTCAGATTCTATTTAACTTATAAAAACAATTGATCAATTGCTAATTCAAATCTTAATTCAAAAGACAAATGTTTTTGTTTAAATTTTGTAGAATATGCATACTATAAAAAATATAAATAAAGAAGATAAAGAATTTTCCCAATTCTAAACCTCTATATTTCATAAATTACTTGTATAATTTTTGTATTTGAATATAAGTTTTGTTTAATCAATGAATAAATTTAAGAAAAAAAATTTTTTTCAAGAAGAATATTCGAACATGGAGAAAGAACTTAGGATCTGTTATAAAGGAGTAAATTTTCAAGAAGAATATGTAAAACTTGGATTAGTTAGATTTTTAATTAGATATGAAAAATATATTGAAGCTCAGAATATTTTAGCAAAGATTAACTGCTCAGACAAAGATATCAAAACTCAAGTCTCAGAACTCAATAAGAAATTGATGCCTTATTTAAGTTGATAATTTATTATTTAAATAGTTAACGAAAAAAGATAAAGAAAAAATCATTTTACAAATATTCTTTTGCCAAAAGAAGCAAAATTTGAAGTTCTCAATATTTTTGAACAAATTGGTGTTAATTGCATATTTTTATAAAGCCGTCTAATAACTAATAACTGATGAAAGTTCTACCAATCATTACAAAGTTATGCATACTGCAAATCTTAAACGAATTATGCGGGTCCATAAATTAGGATTAGAAATCAACTATAAGTTATATGATTACAATTGTTTTCATTAATTTTGGAACTTCTGGTAATATAAATATTAAAAAATAAAGAAAAAATTTTAAAGCTTATTAGTTCGAAAAATTAGACGTTAGTTCTAAAATTGCTTCAAAAAGCATGGACATTTAAATTTGAAGCCAGATGATATATGTGTGTGCATTTATTATGTTGGTTAACTCGCAGGTCAACCGACATTATGTTTACCAGAGTTACGTATTAATTCCACTATTATTATGTTTATCAGAGTCAGTTACGTATCTAGTTAATATTTTCGGAAATAAATCAATTTTGTTTTATCATAACTAGCATGTGACCTGAAATCCATTAAACTATTTTCATATTAAATCCAATAGATATTCACTGAATTTAATATGAAAAATATGAAAATGGAATCCGATGGATTTCGACTATTTAAGAGAATTAACTTTGTTAAAAAACAAAAACGAAGAAGCCAAAAATAGAAAAAAACAATTAGAAAATAAAATCAACAAGATCGCGATCAGTTAATAAATACAATAAACGAATTACGAAAGAATAAATATGAAAAGAAGAAGCAAGAAATTCAAAATAAATTAGATGAATTGGAGGCAGAAAGAATAAATAAAATAGTCGAAAATTCAAAAGGAGGATATAATTAATTCAATGATTAGATATTATAATGTAGCTAGTTTATATATTTTAAAATTTTTTTTTGAAATTTTGTTTTTTTTTTGATTTATATAATAATATTCAAATAAAGGTTTACCTATTCAAATCTCAAGCCTGGACAATCACAAAATCGAGAATCTGCTGTGTAAATTTTTTTTTAGAAAAATTTGATTAGATGTACTATGTATTTTGGTGGATTCACTTATCTACGCCTTGAAATCTCTAAAAATTATGGTTGATTCAAAAGTGAAAAAAACAAAAAAGAAAAAAGTTGTTAAGAAAACTATTCGAATATGCTCACCAGTGCAAGTTATCTTTTGTTTAAAACAAAAAAAATGCAAAAAAATTAAATTCTCATCGTTGGTCTTTTAAAGCCTTTTAAAACCAAAAATTTTGATGTGGGCACAAAACCCTCACAAAACTTCAGTTTACCACTTGTGGAAAGGTATGTATATTTAATTTTGTTTGAAGTTGGCTGATGCTGAAAATTGAACTTTAATACTGTAAGATTTAGGTTATATTACTAATAAAAGAGTATAGAAATAATACTCTCAATCTTAGTATCAGCTAATAAGCTAAATGACAAAACATCAGCAATTATCGGATGTAAATAATGTGCACAAATATACTGTTTAAGATTGTTGCTTTGAATGTACGGGGCAACAATAAGAATGAGACCGAATTTTTAATATTGCATGTAAACGTTGGTGAATAAAAAATTCTTACAACTTTTAAAACTTTTTACAGAATATTTTCTAGCATTATTCTAAGAATATCTTCTTCATTTTTATCATCTTTACAATGTTTTCTTATCCTGCAACATCTCAAAATTTCAAATAAGTCACCAAAAATATAAAAGAAGCATATAATATTGTCAAGACATCGGATCTTTTTTGCGGAACACTAAATTCTGGTAAAAATAAAAAATAATGATAGAATCAAGGTAGAATTAATTCGTAACTCTGGTAAATATAATTTTGGTAGAATTAATTCGTAATACTGGTAAACATAAGTTTGGTGGCAGATTTATTCGTAACTCTGGTAAACATAATTTTGGTAGAATTAATTCGTAACTCTGGTAAACATAATTTTGGTAGAATTAATTCGTAACTCTGGTAAACATAAT